GAGGAGGGGGAGTGGGGGAAGGGGGTGGGGGCGCTGGCAGCTGCGCTGGAGGCTGCGGGAGCGGTGCTGGGGGCTAGCGCCTTGGGACTGGGGGCTGTGTGTGCTCGCCGGGTCCGTCGCTCCCATGGCTACTTGGCCCCGGACTGTAGTCGTCCTCGAGGCCCTTACTTAGAACCACAGACAAAAATTCATCAACCTGCCTTTTAAAACCCGTTTTTTGTTTTTTTTTTTTAAGATTTTATTTATTTGAGAGAGAGACAGTGACAGAGATAGCAAGAGAGAGTACAAGCGGGAGGGAGAGGGAGAAGCAGCCTCCCCACTGAGCAGGGAGCCCCACATGGAGCTCGATCCCAGGACCCTGGGATCATGACCTGAGCTGAAGGCAGCCACTTAACTGGCTGAGCCACCCAGGCACCCCTTAAAACACTGTTTTGAAAAATGTTTTCATGACGAATTTTTTTGGTTCTTTAAAGCTTGATGGTATTCTACATAATTTGGTAAAACAAAGGCAGTCTAAACATGACACTGTAAAGCTAGTGTTTTTTGTCTTCCTAATAAATATAAATTTCCTCCCTTTCCAAAGAATTTTTGTGCTTTCATGTAGACAGAAACCTAATTAATCATGAGATGAAATAAAATACAGTTAGATCTCCATTATCTTTTTCAGGGAATCCGAGCCCGAATTTTAGAAACTCTGGTCATGCTTGTCCTCCTTGCACTCCTTATCCTTGGGATAGTGTGGGTAGCCTCAGCGCTCATTGACAAGGACGCAGCGAGCATGGAGTCTTTGTATGGTAAGTCAGCTTCTCTCCAGGACGCTGAACTGGGCGTATAATTACACATTCGCTTTCATGAACGTTTTAGTAATTCTTTGTGTCGTCAGCCCTTGTTGTTAATTTACAGAATTAACAAATCTTTAGACATGTTTAAGAAAATAAATGAGTGAGAAAGTAAATGTGTTTGCTGTATTCAGAAAGAGCAAGCAGCTTTTAAGATTTTTGTTTGTTTCTTAGTTGGTTTCTGTTCTTAAAATTCCATGGAGACTTTTTTTCTCCCTCCAAACAGGTTTTGCAAAAGGGTTATTTCCTTTTCTATTTTAGATCTTTTTATTGTACAATTTAGAAATTATATGGTTTAGTAGACTCAAATAGACAATTATGTTTATCAAACATTAATTTATAGTCAACCTATATCTTAATGTACAATATTTTGGATTTACTAAAATATGTTTGTGTTTCTTTACAGATCTCTGGGAGTTCTACCTACCCTATTTATATTCCTGTATATCTCTGATGGGATGTTTGTTACTTCTCCGTAAGTATTTTTCTGGCTTAATGTTGATAGGAAAATGGAGTTCTTTGTTCTGGAAAATTATCGTAAGGTTTCCTGATGAAATTACTTAACAGCTTGGAGATGTTTTTAAAGTTGGCCCTTAACTTTTTTTATGTTAAGATAAATTTTGATAAACTGAAGCCATGGAATAAAACTCATGTGCTGTTCTTTAAGGAAAGCCTCTCTCGTGGAGAGACACACACACAGGCACACACTCGCTGAAGCATTAGATTCTCCTCTTGAGTGGTAACATCGAATCCTGTGTGCTGAATTTGTGGTCTTTATTTAAAATGTATTCAGTTTTACTTGAGGCATTACAGCATATCTCAGGGATATTATAAGCAGATAAATGTAGTTAAAAGGAGTTAAGATAATAGTTGTTTGGTTCTCAACTCCATCAGCACTTGAAATTTTAATCTGCTCTTTAGTTGTTTTTTTTTTAAATTTTTAAGTGAAGATACTGTTATTCAACTGCTAGAGTCTTGCACGTACTAAACCTTCTTCAGTCTTTAGGTATCTTTCGTCCTTCACCTGTCATCCCCTCTAGCTTCTTTATTGATGAAGACTCCTCTGATAAAACACTGAGAGAATCTAAATTTGAGGCAAGAATTTTCTTACAATGATAGTCTTGGAGTCTGTTCTGTATTTTGCACTAGCCATTTATCAGCCTCCTCTCTGTGACCTCTCCTGCAGTGTGTACCCCTGTTGGCCTTTCCCGCATGTTCACAGTGATGGGTCAGTTGCTGGTGAAGCCAACAGTAAGTGTGTCATCTTGTTTGTTAAATGTGTTTACATTTGAACATCTTTTAGGTTGTGAATTAGCAATCAGAAACATTAGTGTATTTCTGTGGGCTTGTGACCTCGTTGTTATTGTTGCTTTTATTTTAATCTTTTTCATCTTTGGAAACAAATTTGTTTTTGCTTTTAAAATAGTAACTATAGACACTCAGGTAGAAATTCTTCTAGCAAATTTTAAGACAAAATTTACAAATACTTACAGGTATTTTAGGTGTCTGTTATATCAGTAGTAACTCTGTTATGTTTCAAAATTTACCACATATATTCCTTGATTTATAGAGCAGTTTTGTCTCTGAGAAGTTGTCTGCATGTTACATTTTGATTATACTTTTCACTTTAATCTCAGAGTTGCCATATATTCATGATTTGTCCCTAGTTTCTTTGGCCTCTAGCTATTTTGTCAAATATTCACTCACATGAAAATAATTCTTAGTTGCATTTAAGGAACTTGCCATTTACAAGGGTAAATTTTCATGGGTCCTTATTGCCTACAAACTCAGGTCTGAATGACTCACAGCCTCTTCCCTAGTCCACTGACCTCCAGCCTGTGCTCCTGCCCCCTCGGCTCTGACTGCACATTCATCAGCTGATGGGCTGTGCTCACAATGGGTTGTGTGCTTTCACTTAGCAGGCGTGTCCGGGGCTTTCTCCCATCAGTGCCCCCTGCCTGCTCCAGCCGCCTGACCACCTCCTCAGGGCCTGGCTCTGATGTTGCTGCACTCACTGCCTATTCTTGAACCTTGCCTCACCTTTTCTTTAAGTTGAAATAATCAAGCTTATTTCTCTGCACTTTTCATATTCCCCTTTGTTAATACCTATTAAATTATTTTGGTTATATGTTTGTCTTTCCTATTGGGGTGATTAATCAGGAAAAATTTGAGGCAATATTGTAGTTAGATATTCTTTTAGTAATGCTTGCTTAATTTTGAAAGATTTTTAAAAAATAAGTGACAGATAATTTTTTCCTATGTTTTTAAAAAATAAAATTGGATTATTTAACTTGCTACATAAATGTATACACACTCAAAACATGCTATCAAATCTTGAAATTCACTTCCCTCTTGAAGAGGTTTCATGACACTGCATTCTTAATTTCTTCCTGATTCTCTGACAGAGCTTTCTTTTTGTTTTTTGGTCTCTTTTTCCGTTTTTATTTCCTAGCCCCCTTAGATAGGCAAATGTTCCAAGTTCTGTCCTTGGTCTAAAGTTGCTCTGCTCTGTTCTCCTTACCACCTCTGCCACTTTCACGACACTTCTAAATGTGTAGCTCTAGGGAGCAAAAGACACCGAAAACAAACCACACCACATTGTAAATGCTGTACCCGAATACTCCACGGAGCTGAAAGCTCAGCTTATAGAAAACCAAACTACTTACCTAGTACCCTTCCCAAACTGATTTTTCTCCTAAACTTGTCTTTTACTAACATTATTCTTGAAACTTTAATTATCTTCACTTCTTTTCTTGTTCCTAACATCCAGTATTAATGATATTCAATTCAGTGTAGGCTCTATGTTTGTGATAAGCACTATATTTTACGCACATTTCATTTAATCCTGTTAACAAACCCATAAGTTAGGTGGTGGTCTTATTTTATGGCTGGAATTATCTGTAGTTCAGGGAGATTAAGTCGCTTGTACGAGATCACAGATCAGTCATGATGGGGTGGGATTTGAACCCAGAGACTGGTTACAGACCCTGGGCTCTGGACCACTGTTTTGTTCTGCCATAAGCTCCAGAATACTCGAACCACTTTATTGCTGAGTGTACTTCGCACCTCTTCACCTCTGTGTTTTGCTTATAGTTTTTTTCTGATCTAAATGCCTTTCCCCATTTTAGTAAATTAAGCTATCAGCTAAGAGGCTACTATTATCAAAAACACTTGCCAAAACTTTTTTTCTTCCCACCTAGAATTTGGGGGTCTTTCTTCCTCTGAACTTTTGTGACATTTTATTTTTGCTTCAGTTATGACAGTTATTTTAACTTTATAATTGTTTTTTTGAGTTCATTCTGTCTTTCCTGGACACTAGAATGTAAGCTGTTTGAGGTCAAGGACTGTGTTTGACTCATATTTAGGTCCCCATCAGCTCAGAGTGTTTAAGAGTGTAGGCTTCAAAAGGCAGATAACTTTTCTTTGCCAAACCTTTGTTTCTTGGCATATTATAAGATGGGGATGATAACAGTCTGTTTTTCATTGGATTATTGTAGAATCAAGGGGATGAGGCACACAAGCATTTAACACAAATATCGGTGTGCCATTCATTGTTACTCACTCAAATGGAGACAGACCCATGGTGGTAAGTCACTAATGGATAGTTTGCATTGTAAGAGGACATCTTTTGTATGGGCTAGACCTTAAGAAAAGTAAAAACTGGATTGTGATCCAAATGGTAGAAATGGTGAGAATATTGATGAGAAAGAAACTTGATTTCATGACCCACAGAGATATGGCCCCTGCCTGCCTTAGGCTCAGAGCCTGTCTTGGATTAACTTAGCCCAGTCCACTGCCTGCACCGCTGCTGTCCATCTGCCCAATCTTTCCCATTTAGGACTCAGGGGTCGTCTCCTGGGGGAGGCCCTCACTGGTGGCCTGCTGAAGTGGGTCACCCCACCCTTTTCTCCTAGGTCGGTCAGCTTTTGTACTTACTTATTTGTGTGTTAGTATATATTCTTATTTTACTATTTTATTTTGCTGTGAGTGCTAAGCCTGTTGATAATAAGGGATTATCAATATTTGTTGAAATACTGGGAATTATTGGATTGCTCTAAATAAATTTTATAGAAATTAGGTAGATTTGATACCTGATAGGAGTTACATGCTTTGAGACTCCTTTTTATGAATATACCTCATCAGGGAGCTGAAAGGATATACATATATAGGGTTTCTACCCTTTTGCTTTGTACATCAACTTCTCACAATTTATTGTTTTGTTGGGAATAAGTAGTTTGGGTTTGAATGATATTAAATATATCAGCTCTGGGCTTCTTTTAGATTTTCCCCAGAGCTAGGAAGATATTTAGGATCATTTCAAGAAGGATAGCTATGTTAACAAAGCTAGAATTAAATATATTTTAGGCTTTATCAGTTGTGAAGATAGTGCAGGTCATATCCTATATAATTGGTGATTGATTAGTGGTTCTTGTTTTTTACTAGTGTTGTATGGTATGGTAGTGAGTGGGGTATATACAAGCATAATATTTCTCTAGGGTTCTGTCTACAGAATGATTTTGATAATACCAGTATTCATAATTTGCAGAAAATTTTTATTATATACAGATGATGTAAGTGGAAAGTATTGTATGGTAGTTACTGAGTTTATAGGTCTCTTGTGTTAAGTATTATCTAGGTAAATATAAATGAGAAACCAATGTTGGACGGAGTGATCTATTCCTTCTTGCTCTAAAATATTGGTTTGGGTGTAAGAGGTATAATTGTATTTAGCCTTTTGGATGTTGAGAATTCATACATTTACTTGTCATTGAGAGAACTGCAGTGTTCTTTAATCCTTTAAATTTAAATATATGTAGATTTTCTAGTAGTCAACTTTGATGTGTTTAGTTATATGCTAAAATATTTTTCCTTAACTTATAAATAGACTAGTTTGAGTATTTTTAAATTCCTAATGATTTTAAATGGTTATCTAAGTCATAGGCCAAATAACCTAAGTGTTCTCATAAGCACTAGTTTTCTGATGTTGCATTAGTCAAAGGTTTGATCTTTGAATTTAGATTCTTGAAGACCTGGATGAACAAATTTATATTATTACCCTAGAGGAGGAAGCACTCCAGAGACGACTAAATGGTATGTATGTATTCCATAGTTAGAGCTCAATAAAAAATTATTTAATTCAAAAAAAGACAGCTAATTGAGAGGGGAAAAATGCAAGCCTCTTAGCACATTGTGCTGATGCACTAGGTCAAGACCTAAGAGTAACATGTGAACGTCCCAGGTGAGGATAGTTTTGCTGAAGACTAGTGGCACTGCGGTCAAGTTCCCATCTTTCCCTAGCTGTGGTTAGCTATAGTCTAGCAAGGCCAGTTCATTTCTGAGACACTGGCCACTAAGGCACACCTCTACTGCTATGTATTTTAAGCATGACGACTCAGTTACTGAGGTTTTGCAAATTTGCATGTTTTCTTAGTGACTTTAATATCCCTACTTCATTTCTTTCCTGTTGAAATCTTTAAGGTCGAAAGTAGTATGTTTTTTTGCTACTAGGTGCTAAATTTGACAGTCTCGGTTATGCTTAGGAGCTCTGTTGTTATTTAGGAATGCTGTTCATAATCAGCTGTGATAACCAAGTAAGCATGTCAAAGATCTTAAAGTTTTTTTTTTTTTTTTTTTTAAGATTTTATTTATTTATTTATTTGAGAGAGAGAGAACACATGAGAGGGGATAGGGTCAGAGGACGAAGCAGACTCCCCGCCGAGCAGGGAGCCTGACGTGGGGCTCGATCC